TTATAACTCCCTCATTAGTATTAGAAGCTCTTTTATAAAATCAGTGGAATTTTCTATACAGAGAATCATGTTATCTGCAAATAGGGAAAGTAATTTCTTAATGTCCAATCTGCCTTGCTTTCTTTTTCTTGACTTATTGCACTGGCTAGGACTTCCTATACACTACTGAGTAGGAGTGGAAAGAATAGATATCTTTGTTCCCAGGATTAGAGGAAAATGAATTCAGTCTTTCAGAATTATGTATGACATTATCTCTGTGTTTTTGTTTTGTTTTGCTTGACTCAATTCTTCTTACAGCAATTTTAGGTTTACAACAAAATTGAGAAGGCAGTACAGAGATGTCCCATATGCCCCAACCCATAGCCTTCCCCATTATTGACATCACTCACCAGAATAGTACTTTTATTTTCAACCAAGGATGAACCTACATTGACATCATAATCACCCAAAGTCCATAGTTTACCTTCAGGTTCACCGTTGGTGTTACATATTCTATGGGTTTGAACAATTGTATAATGACATATATCCAACATAATATCTTAAGAGTATTTTCATTGCCCTATGCTCTGCCTATTCATCTCTTCCTGCTCACTCCTGGCAACCACTGTTGTCTCCATAGTTTTGCCTTTTCCAGAATGTCATATAATTGGACTCATAAAACATGTAGTCTTTTCAGATTGGCTTCATTCACTTAGTAATGTGCATTGAAGGTTTATCCATGTCTTTTCTTTAAAAAATTTTTTTTTTGTATCATTAATATACAATTACATGAGCAACATTGTGCTTACTAGGTTCCCCATATTATCAAGTCCCCAGCACATACCCGATTACAGTCACGGTCCATCAGCATAGTAAGATGCTATAGAGTCACTACTTGTCTTCTCTATGCTATACTGCCTTCCCCTTGCCCCCCGCCCCCGATACATTATGTGTGCTAATCATAGTGCCCCTTATTCCCCTTATCCCTCCCTTCCCACCCACCCAACCCCACCAGTCCCTTTCCCTTTGGCAACTGTTAGTCCATTCTTGGGTTCTGTGAGCCTCCTGCTGTTTTGTTCCTTCAGTTTTTGCTTTGTTTTGGTGCTATACAGATGAGTGAAATCGTTTGGTATTTGTCTTTCTCCACCTGGCTTATTTCACTAAGCATAATACCCTCTAGCTCCATCCATGTTGTTGCAAATGGTAGGATTTATTTTCTTCTTATGGTTGAATAATACTCCAACTTATGGTTGTATATGTACCACATCTTCTTTATCCATCCACCTACTGATGGACACTTAGGTTGCTTCCATTTCTTGGCTATTGTAAATAGTGCTGCAATAAACATAGGGGTGCATATGTCTTTTTCAAACTGGAGTGCTGTGTTCTTAGGGTAAATTTCTAGGAATGGAATTCCTGGGTCAAATGGTATTTCTATTTTTAGTTTTTTGAGGAACCTCCATACTTTTTTCCACAATGGTTGAACTAGTTTACATTCCCACCAGCAGTGTAGGAGGATTCCCCTTTCTCTGTATCCTTGCCAGTATTTGTTGTTCCTATTTTTTTCTATGTTGGCCATCCTAACTGGCATGAGGTGATATCTCATTGTGGTTTTAATTTGCAGTTCCCTGATAATTACCTATGTGAAACATCTTTTCATGTGCCTATTTGCCTTCTTAATTTCTTCTTTGGAGACTGTCTATTCATATCCTCCACCCATTTTTTAATAGGATTATTTGCTTTTTGGGTGTTGAGGCATGTGAGTTCTTTATATATTTTGGATGTTAACCCCTTGTCAGATATGTCATTTACAAATATATTCTCCCATACTGTAGGATGCCTTTTTGTTCTGCTGATAGTGTCTTTGCTGTATAGAAGCTTTTTAGCATGATGTAGGCCCATTTATTTTTTATTTTGTTTCCCTTGCCCAAGGAGATGCATCCAGGAAAAAGATGCTCATGTTTATATTCAAGAGATTTTTGCCTATGTTTTCTTCTAAGAGCTTTATGGTTTCATGACTTACATTCAGGTCTTTGATACATTTTGGGTTTACTTTTGTGTATGGGGCTAGACAATAATCTAGTTTTGTTCTCTTGCATGTAGCTGTCCAGTTTTGCCAACATCATCTGTTGAAGAGGCTGTCATTTCCCCATTGTATATCCATGGTTCCTTTACCATATATTAATTGACCATATATGCTTGGGTTTATATCAGGGCTCTCTAGTCTGTTCCATTGGTCTATGGGTCTGTTCTTGTGCCAGTACCAAACTGTCTTGATTATTGTGGCTTTGTAGTAGAGCTTGAAGTCAGGGAGCATAAGACCCCCTGCTTTATTCTTCCTTCTGAGGACTGCTTTGGCTATTCAGGGTCTTTTGCGGTTCCATGTGAATTTTAAAACTATTTGCTCTAGTTGGTTGAAGAATGCTGTTGGTATTTTGATAGGGATTGCATTGAATCTGTAGATTGCTCTAGGCAGGATGACCATTTTGACAATATTAATTCTTCCTATCCATGAGCATGGACTGTGTTTCCATTTATTGGTATCTTCTTTAATTTCTCTCATGAGTGTCTTGTAGTTTTCAGAGTATAGGTCTTTCACTTCATTGGTTAGGTTTATTCCTGGGTATTTTATTCTTTTTGATGCAATTGTGAATATAGTTTTCCTGATTTCTCTTTCTGCTAGTTAATCATTAGTGTATAAGGATACAACAGATTTCTGTGTATTAATTTTGTATCCTGCAACTTTGCTGTCTTCCAAATTGTCCGTACCATTTTGCATTTCCAACAGCAGTGAATGAGTGTTCCTGTTGCTCTATATCCCTGCTAGAATTTGGTGGTATTGGTGTTCTAGTTTTTGGCCATTCTAGTAGATATATGTTGAACTCTAGATTTTTAATAGATGCTCTTTATCATTGTGGAAGTTACCTTCTAGTCTCATCACAAATGGATGTTGAATTTTGTCAAATACTTTTTCTCAGTTGATAATGATCATGTGATTTTTCATTTTGAACCTATTAATCTGGTGGATTATTTTCATTTGGGATACTAAGCCAATCGTATAGTCCTGGGATAAACTCAGCTTAGTCCAGGTGTTTTTTTTCTTTTTATGCATTGCTGGGTTCAATTTGATAATATTTTGTGGAGGACTTTTGTGGCTATGTTCATTAAGGATTTTGGATTGTAGTTTTCTTGTTCTGTCTGCTCTTTTTTCTTTTCCAAACTTTTATTATTTGTATTGTTTAAATTGGATAATTTCTACTGATTTAGGGGTATCTGTTTCGTCTGTCATCTACATTCTTCCCCTGAGCTCATCCAGTGATATTTTTTTGTTGTTGTTGTATTTTCAGCTCAAAAATTTTCATTTGGGCTATCTTTATATCTTTGATTTCTTTCCTGATGTGTCCTATCTTTCTGTTCATTTACCCTTATTTCCTTAGCATAGTTATAATACCCAATTTAAAGTGTTTTTCTATCCTAATATCTGACATCTAGGCAATGGCATGATTTGATTTTCTTTTTTCTTGCAAAATGAGATATTTTTGATTCTTCCAATGCCTAGTAATTTTGCTTATATCCTGTATGTTTTGAATATTATGTTATCTGATTCTGGGCATCATTTAAACCCTAAGGAGATGGTTGATTTGTTTGTTTTAGTAGGCAGTTGTCGTAATTATGACAAGGCCACAAGTTCTGATCTGTATTGTGTAGGCTGCAGTTCTCAAACATTTTTCAAACATTTCAGTCAATTCGGTTTTCAAACATTTCCAGTCATTCATGTATGCCACCCAGTGGCCATTCTGGATCCTGGGGGTTGTCTACCCTGTAGCTCAGTTCTCAATGCCTGTGCTCTGCTGTTTAAGGTCAGGTCCATGTACTGTTTAGAGTTGAGCAGTAGAGTTCAAACACTACTTTTGCAGATCACACTTGATCTCTGTCCTCTGCAATAAATCCAGTACTTTATGGCTCCCTGAGTCCTCCCTTATTAATCTCCCACCTAGGAAGCTAAGGTTTTAGTTTCCCTGCTCTGCTGTTTACTTCTCTCAATGATATGTGCATTCTGGTCCAAGCAGTGAGAGAGCACATAGAGGGAATAAAAGCAGCAGAGATTGACACCATGCTCTTGAGACCAAAGTCTTCTGATCAGAGAGCTGGGTCCCCTCCCTCTGAGTCAAGGTGTTTTCCTGGTCCCCCTACCATTACTGTGCTGCCACCTGGAAGAGAAGTTAAAAGAAGAAAACGATGTGGGATTTCCTCCTTTCTCTCTGACCTTCTGGAGCCTCTTTCCCACTCGTTTGGCCAGACATAGAGCACTTTTCTTGGAGTTCTTCCTGCTCACTCTCTGTGTGCTCTTCTGGGGTTACAGGCTGCCTTTGAGTCTAGGCCAGGAGAAACCAAGGGGAAGAAAAGGTGAATTCAATGCTCGTTCAGTAGAACTTCAGTTTTAGTCTTCTTGCTATTATTTATTTTATGGAGTTCTCAGGGAGCTGCCCAGTGCATTCCATCCAGACTTAAATGGGAATTTCTCTGTGGAGAGAGACAGGGTAGAGTGTGCTCACTTTCTTCCCAGTAATCACAGCTTTTTTTCTTATTTTTATCATTTTTCCCCTTCAACTTGCTTTGGTTTTAAATTGGTCTTTTGTTTTTTCCCTAGCTTCTTAAGGTGAACAATTAGATCACTGATTTTTAACCTTTCTTCCCTTCTAATACAACTATTTAAAGGAATGGTACATCAGGGCTTCAGCCCTACTTCTCTGTAGTTTTCTAAGCTCCTCCCTTCACATGTATCAGCTTCATCTTCCAGCTGTTGCATCATAACCAGTCACAACCGTATGTGGAGCCAGAAAGGTATTATCCCTTCTGTATATCTCTGTGGAGACAGTGAAGGTTCCTATGGCCAGGATTCTCACTTGGCCCTGGTCCACTTGCTCACTACATACATGTGGGCAATACAGTGCTATTGACTCTATATAAAGAGCTCTGCCCAGAGCTCTGGGCTGCTGCACAGCTGCAGGAGAGCAGAGGCTAGAGTGGTGGCAGTGCTGAGGACAGAGACTGAGATGGCTGCAGGGGCAGAGAGGCCCAGAGGCATAGACTGGCTTGCTACATGCAGACTTGCTCGGAGTGGATGGCCTGCCTCTGTGGGAATGAAGTTGGGTACAAACCCTTTCACCCCAAGAATGTTCCACTGTCATTTTTTGGTCTCACTGAATCCAACTTGTCCAGAGCTGAAACACATTGGCAAGACAGTCTCCCTTTTAGAAGAAAGCAAACTTTTCCCAGAAGTTATGCAGCAGGCTTCTAATGTCTCATTGGGTGATACACGCATTCCTAAATCAAAATTACTTGCAGGTGGAATAGGGTTACCATGATTAGCTTAGAGTAATCATTTTGAGTTGAATGAATATTGAGAAGTCAAACTGTAAAACCACCTAACTGACAAGACTTCGTATAGTCAATGAATCAAAGCAAAGTTTAACAGACTAATCCATTTCTGATACAGCCCCACTGACATGGGAATGTCTACCAAATGGAAATATTCTACCTAGAATCCTGACAGCTCCTGCAATAAACTGGAGCCAGCCAATCCTCATAGGAAGAGACAACAGATGTATACCTGGTTGGTCATTAGCCTGACACTAGAATTCCACACCTTATATAAGCTACCACTCAATATCTTTGTTGCCTTCAAATAAAAATAATCCTTCAGAGAAAACAAGGCAGTTAATCTGGGCTAAATTCAAACTCAAGATTAAGAGACCCAAATAATAAAATACATCCAATAGGTAACATTTCAGGAATCAGACCTCAAAAGCTGTGTTCAGATCAGGAATCAATATAGCAATTAATTAATTTCTTTATAAAAGTGCTTTGATTTAAAGATGGATACTACAACTAATTATAATGTTATTTGCTAGCCATCCAAGATTTGTGGCCTATATAGTCCACTTGAATCATCTTCTAAAACTGCTGCAATTGTCTAATCCTTGCCTGTGCTCAGTGTTAGTGGCAAAGAGAATATTATTTCGACTCACATTAGTCCTTTCACCAAACACTCATCTGGATTTTATCTTCCAGATCCTCTGCTTTTCAACAACATTCATTCCATAGTTTCTTCTTCTTTTTATTTATTTTTTGCTAGAATACAAAGTTTCTCAGGGCAGGAACTATATAAAAGTAGTTTTCTTTTTGTTTCCTCCAATGATTGTTTTTAATCATAAAATATACATAAAATTTACCATTTTGAAGTATACAATTCAGTGGCATTAAGTATATTTATAATGTGCAACCATCTCAATACCACTTTCCATAACTTTTTCATCACACCAAACAGAAACTCTAGACCCATAAAACAAAAATTTACTCCTTTCTCTGCTGAACACTAGTAACCACTTTTTGCCTCTATAGATTTGCCTATTCTAGGTACCTCATGAAAGTGGAATCATACAATATTTATCTCTTTGTGTCTGGCTTATTTTACTTAGCATAATGTTTCCAAGGTTCATCCATGTTGTAGAATGTATCAGAATTTCATTGCCTTTTAAGGCTGAATAATATTCCATTGTATATAAATATATACTTCATTTTGCTGATCTATTGATGACCACTTGGGTCACTTTCACCTTTTTGCTATTGTGAATAATGCTATGAACACAGTTGTACAAGTATTGTTTTGAGTCCCTGCTTTCAATTCTTTTGGATATATGCTTAGGAGTAGAATTATTGGATCATATGGTAATTCTATATTTAGCTTTTTGAGGAACTACCAAAATTTTCCAGTGAGTACCATTTTACATTCCCATCAGCAATGAACAAGGGTTCCAATTTCTCCACATCCTTGCCAACACTTGTTATTTTTAATCATAGAAATCCCAGTAGGTATGAGGTGGTATCCCACAGTAGTTTTGATTCGCAGTTCCCAAATGTTCAGTGCTATTGAGCATTTTTCCTGTACTTATTGTCCACTTGTGTGTCTTCTTTGAAGAAATATCTATTCTTGCCCTTGCCCATTTTCAAAGAGTTGTTTGGGCTTTTGTTTTCATCAGTTGTAGGAGTTCTCTATATATTCTGAATATTGAGCCCTTATCAAGTACATGATTTGCAAATATTTTCATTCTGTAAGTATTTGAGTGCCTATTATGGGCCATATACTGTGCCAGATGCTTGAGAAACACCAATGAATGAGCCAGCCCATCCTCTCAGGAAACATAAAATGGTGGGATCAACACAGAAGCAAATATAGTCTTTTTTTAAATTAAGGTATTATTGATATATACTCTTATGAAGGTTTCACATGAAAAAACAATGTGGTTACTACATTCACCCGTATTATTGAGTCCCCCCCCATACTCCATTGCAGTAACTGTCCATCAGTGTAGTAAGATGCTACAGATACACTAGCAAATATAGTGTCTTTAGTGGAATAAAAAATTATCACATTGCTTCTCAAATATGCAAAGGAAAATGAAACTTATTTTTATAACTGATGTTTTTGCTTCTTGAATTTCCACCCCATTGGGCATGGGGTGGTGGGGTGAAAGAATTGGATTATTCAGTCCATTTTAAGTTCAACTCCATCTACCCTTTCCTGTCATCTGGATGTCTAGTAGGGGGTTTACATCATCATAAGTGAAGTGTTGCTGTGGACTGGGTTTCAGATAGGCTTGCTGTCCTCCTGATCTTCTCTAGTCTCTATTCTTTGCAGCTAGTCTGCTGTGGTACTTGCTCACCAAACCTGCAGCAAATGATCTGGCTTGTTTTTTGTTTTTTGTTTTTTTTGGCTATGCCAGAGGCAAGTATCCCTTCCTTAGTGATTTGCTTACCCCTTGGTCTTGGCCACTCCTCTAAAGTGTGGCTGAGACTCAAAGCTGATTCTGGCCTGTTGCATCCTGCAGCTCTTAGCTAAAAGATCCACAAAGTTATTTCGTGCAATGGTACAATCAGTTATTTTTATAATTAATAACAGGGGGTACATTCAACTATTTTCAAAGGCCCCTGTTGGGCATGGAGAACTGCTGAATATCTTCTAAGCCACATTAGCTGGCAGAGGCCCTTTGTCTAACATTGCATTACCATATCTACAATAACCCAATGTTAGAGTACAGGACAGCAATTGTTCTGCCAATGCACTCAATGGCAAGTAGGCTCGGCCCTGTCCCCCTTCAAGTTCTCTCCAACCCACCCCCCACCACCACCATTTCTGCAGAGGTTGGGTGCAGAAATGAAAGGACACTTGTGTATGATACCATGTCTCACCATTCCCAGTGCCAGGAGGGTTTTTTCTCTTTTGCTATCTCATCACTTCTTTCTTCCCAGAGTATCAGTTCTCCTCCTCCTATTCCTTGGGGCCATATTTGCAGTTTGTTATTTTTAAAATACTTCATTTTCTGTGATAAATCAAATACCAGGGATAAAAACAGATTGCTATGGAATCAATAGAGGGATATGATAGTGGTCTCAACATAACCTTGGGGTGTTAGGGTAGGCTTCCTGGAGGACGTGGCATCCAAGCTAAAACCTGATGAACATAGACATTCAGTAAAGTTTAGATGCTAATTAAGAGTTCAAAAGGACCATTCAAAGGCCCAGAGGCATAAGGACTTTTAGTTTGGAATGTCTTCAGTATAGAGTATAAAAGAGGCAATGGCAAGAGATAAAGCTAAAGTAGTTAGCTGAGGTCAGATCCAGAAAAGCCTCAAAAACCTTGTTTAGGAATTCTGACTTTATGTTAAAAGCAATGGAAAGCCTATGTGTTAAAGCAAAGAAAGGACATCAAATTTGCTTTAGAAAGATCACTGGTTAAAAGAAATGGATGCAAATACAGAAGTTAAGGGTCACTTTGCTCTCCTTCATTCAGAGATTAGTCATCGTCTTGAATTTTGTAAGGACATTCTAGAAAAGTATAGATAGCATTGGAAGGTGGATCCCATCAGCAAATTTAAAGTTGAAGAGATGGATCCTCATGGAAGGCCAAGGATGAAGAGAGGGAGAATAATTGGTGCAACCCAAGGTCTTCAGAGGTGGGAATGGTGAGAACCAGAGACCCCATTTTCATTCTGAAAGGAGGGGGAGAGGAAATGATGGGTGAGATACAGATGAACAAATTTGGTGGCAGGAGGTTTTAAGAGTTCTCATCTTTTTTTTTCTGTAACACAGGTGCAAAATCAGTCATCTGTTCATGGAGAGGAAGGTGGCCAAAGGGGAATATTGGCAAACATTGTTCACTGTCCCAGTGATGTTCCAAATCCCCATTTGCCCTGCTGCCTTCCCTCTAGAGGTTGAAAATGCTTGCTTTATCAGACACATTTGCAGCAAGGTAACATAAGCAAAATTTTGCTGGGGTTTCTTAAACGCCTTTTACATTCCTAGTAAAGGAGTTGGCCATGGCTGAAGCTCCTGTTCCTCTTTTTTCCTGACTTGACCCCAGTTGTCATTCCTAGAGCTGGGACAGCTCTCTTACATATCTGGGAATATAAGCATGAGGGAAAGGCCAAAAGAAGGGCAGAGACCACACCCAGAGCACTCATTGTCCAGCGGCTGACTGACAGCCAGCAGCAACTTGCCCGCCAGATTTCTGGTTGCAGCCTTATGTGCTTAAGCCACCAAAGGTTTGGAATCATTCCTCACACAGGAAGGCTTAAGGACAATGCTGAACATCTAATCTAGTCTCTGAAGAGAATGGGAGAGAAGTAAAGAGAGAACACAAGATTATAAATGAAATTATAGATACAATTGAACGCCCAGATGAAATGAGATTCATAAAAAAATACCAATTTCATTTGGGAGTATTTACTATCTGTGGAAATTTATCAACCTAATGGGGGTGCTAATATCATGCTAATTTTTATCAAGGTTATCCCAAGTCATATTAACTCTTCATTTAGATAAACTAGCACCTTCTACTACTGTTAAGAGACATATGTAAATGCTAGATTACCCAAAGTACACAGCAACACCATTTAAAGGTTTGTCTTTAGATATCATTTAGATAAAATTCACACCACTTTCTGGCAGAGAAGTTCAGATAATCACAATAGAGAATGTAATCTTGAAAAGTTTATGGCAACACCAAGTGAAGACAGACACTTCCCTGAGAATACCTGATTTAGATTCTGTCCTTTTATTCATAGTACCAAAGAAACTCTTTCCATAATTAAGCATGATTCACAATAGACACATTTCTGAGGCATTTGCTTCTTTAATAGATGGCTTGTTCCTCTTTTTACGAAAAGAATGAACCCAAATAAAAAGACTCTTACATTTTAAGTAACTGAAATATACAAAATCTAATGTGTATCCCTATTCACTACAAAGTAAAATCACCATAAAAAAATCTATTATTAAAACTTACATTCACCTCTCCCACCACTAGGCTTGTATTTATCAATATAATAACCAAGCAGAGTGCACAAATCGCATTTGTTTCTGGAGTTACTCTAAGCATTATATATGGTTGGATTTTCTGATAATTGTTTACACATTGTGAGGAATCCAATCAAAGAAGTTCACTTTGAGCCCCCTCTTTACTTCTTCTTTGGGCTTTCATTTCTGATGTTTGTCTCCATAATGGCTAACTGTGGCACTACACTATGGAAAACACATGTATTCTTATAATAGAGTATTATCAAGAATCCCTGGAAAAGGGAGCATTATGTTGTATGTCAGAATTTTAATAACATATCAGTCATTTTATTTTTAAACAGAGAATCTGACTTACTTAAACATGGTTAAAACTCAGTGGATTCTTTAAACTGACCATTGGTGATTCCTCATTTGTTCAAGAGCATCAAAATCCAGGGTTTTGAGATTCAAGATGGCGGCATGAGAAGTGAGACAGAGAATTCCTCCCCAAACCACATATAGTACAAAAAATATAGTTAAAACAACTAACCCTAAAACAGCAACAGGAAAGAAGGCTGCACCAGACTGCTTACAGACCTCACGAAACAGGGTAACGTACCAAAGCCTTGATTCAGAGGGACCCAAGCCCTTCCCCAACCTCAGCTCACTGGCAGGAGGAAGAGATATAGAGTGGGGAGCAGGTGGAAGCCTAGAACTGCTGAACACCCAGCCCTGGAGGTCTGCTTTAGAGCACAAACCTACATTGGGTGGTGCTCTGGAGGTTGGTGGGGTTGGGGAGCTGGCACAGGCAGAGTGTTTGACACTGAGATTCTGGCCATTTGTGGAGGACGGGGATCCACATCTGGCCACTCTGGGACAAAGGAAAGGCAGGAGGTCTGAGAGGCTTTCTAGCAGGGAGAGGGCTGCTGAAGGGCAGGGGTTTGCAAGGAGCTTGCTGTGTGGGAGAAGGGATAGGTGGACAGGGTTGTCTGGGCATGCTCTGCCCAGCAGGTTGGGAACTTTGAGCTTCAGGCACTCCATTCCCCTGGTTGGCTATTCAGCTCCAAGGCCCCCCACTGTGACACACAGCCTGCTGGGCCTTCCTCCCAGTCTGCCGGGCATCTGGTCACAAACCAGCAGTCAGTGCGCTGGCGTCAGGCCAGTCAGAGGGAGGCCCCACCTACAACAGCTAGAGATGCAAACCACAGAGGCTTACACCTGTGTGCTTGGCCCACTGGCTCTGATACAGGAGACAGGCACTGCAGATGGGAATCAGGAAACAGCTCTTTCCTCCCCCCAGGCACCAGCGCCACTCCCCTATGTCTCCAACCTCACTCTAGGGGCTGAGCAGCTCTAGAGACTAGAGCTTCTGGGCAAAGAGGGCACCACATCGAAATGAGAAATGTCAAAGGAACCTGGTCCAGACCAAAATCTCACAAACACCAGAAAAAGGGCCAAATGAAAATGGAATCACCGATCTTCCTGAAAGTGTTCAAAATAAAAATCACAAACATGCTCATGGAGGTACAGAAAAATATTCAACAACTGAGGAACGAATTTAAGTCAGAGATTCAATCATTAAGAAATTCCATAACTGAAATGAAACATACAATGGAGGGATTTAAAAGTAGATTAGATGTAGTAGAAGAGACGGTGAATGGTACAGAAATTAGACAAGAGGAATACAAAGAAGCTGAGGCACAGAGAGAAAAAAGAATCTCTAAGAATGAAAGAATATTGAGAGAACTGTGTGACCAATCCAAACAGAACAATATTTGCATTATAGGGGTACCAGAAGAAGAAGAGAGAGAAAAAGTGATAGGGATAGAAAATGTCACTGAGGAGGTAATTGCTCAAAAATTCTCCAACTGGGGAAGGATATAGTCTCTCAAGCCATGGAGGTACACAGATCTCCCAACACAAGGGACCCAAGGAAAACAACATCAAGACATATAATAATTAAAATGGCAAAGATCAAGGATAAAGACAGTCTTTTAAAAGCAGCTAGAGAGAGAAAAAAGATCACATACAAAGGAAAACCCATAAGGCTATCATCAGATTTCTCAACAAAACTTACAGGCCAGAAGGGAGTGGCATGATATATTTAATGCAATTTAATGCAAAAGAAGGGCCTCAAACCAAGAATACTCTACCCGGCAAGGTTATCATTTAAATTTGAAGGAGGGATTAAACAATTTTCAGATAAGCAAAAGCTGAGAGAATTTATCTCCCACAAACGGTCTCTACAGTGCATTTATGAGTGACTGCTATAGGTGGAAGTGTTCCTAAGGCTAAATAGCTGCCACCACGGAAAATTAAACTAAAGTAGAACAATTAATTACTAAGCAGATGCAAAATCAAATCAACTACCCCCAAAGTCAATCAAAGGGTAGACAAAGAGGACAGAATATGATACCTAACATATAAAGAATGGAGGAGGAAGAAAAAGGAGGAAAAAACAAAAAGAACCTTTAGGTTGTATTTGTAATAGCAGACGAAATGAGTTAAATTAGACTTTTAGATAGTAAGGGAATTACCATTAAACCTTTGGTAACCACGAATCTAAAGCTTGCAATGGCAATAAGTGCATTCTTAATGATAATCACCATAAATGTAAATGGTCTGAATGCACCAATCAAAAGTCACTGAATGGATAAAAAAAAACAAGACTCATCTATATGCTGCCTACAAGAGACTTACTTCAAACCCACATACAAAAAAATGAAAGTAAAGGGATGGAAAAGATATTTCATGCAACTAATAGTGAGAAAAAAAGCAGGAGTTGCAGTACTTGTATCAGACAAAACAGACTTCAAAACAAAGAAAGTAACAAGAGACAAAGAAGGACATTACATAATGATAAAGGGGTCAGTCCAACAAGAGGATATAACTATTATAAATATCTATGCACCCAACACAGGATCACCTACATATGTGAAACAAATACTAACAGAATTAAAGGGGGAAATAGAATGCAATGCATTCATTTTAGCAGACTTCAACACACTACTCACTCCAAAGGACAGATCAACCAGACAGAATACAAGTAGAGACAGAGGCACTGAACAATGTATTAGAACAGATGGACCTAACGGACATCTACAGAACACTCCATCCAAAAGCAGCAGAATACACATTTTTCTCAAGTGTACATGGAACATTTTCAAGAATACATCATATACTAGGCCACAAAAAGAACCTCAGTAAATTCAAAAAGATTGAAATTGTACCAACGAGCTTCTCAGATCACAAAGGTATGAAACTAGAAATAAATTACACAAAGAAAATGAAAAAGCCCACAAACACATGGAGGCTTAATAAGATGTTCCTAAATAATCAATGGATCAATGACCAAATAAAAACAGAGATCAAGCAATACATGGAGACAAATGACAACAATAATTCAACACCACAAAATCTGTGGAACGCAGTGAAGGCTGTGCTAAGAGGGAAGTATATTGCAATTCAGGCCTACCTCAGGAAAGAAAAATCCCAAATGAACAGTCTAAACTCACACAATGAAAATAGAAAAGGAAGAACAAATGAGGCTCAAACTCAGTAGAAGGAGGGACATAATAAAGATTAGAGCAGAAATAAATAAAACCAAGAAAAATAAAACAATGGAAAGAATCAATGAAGCAGGAGCTGGTTCTTCAAGAAAATAAACAAAATAGATAAACCCCTCGCCAGACTTATCAAGAAAAAAAGAGAGTCTACATACATAAACAGAATCAGAAATGAGAAAAATCACTCTGGACACCACAGAAATACAAAGAATTATTAGAGAACACTGAAAAATTATATGCTAACAAACTGGATAACCTAGAAGAAACGGACAACTTTCTAGAAAAATACAACCTTCCAAGGCTGACCCAGGAAGAAACAGAATATCTGAATAGACCAATTACCAGCAAGTAAATTAAATTGGTAATCAAAAACTATCTAAAAAGAAAACTCCTGTACGGGATAGTTTCACTGCTGAATTTTATCAAACATTTAGTGAAGACCTAATACCCATCCTCCTTAAAGTTTTCCAAAACATAGAAGAGGAGGAAATACTCCCAAACTCATTGTATAAGGCCAAAATCACTCTAACACCAAAACCAGGCAAAGACACCACAAAAAAAGAAAATTATAGACCAATATCCCTGATGAACATATTAAAAAATACTCAACAAAATATTAGCAAACCGAATTCAAAAATACATCAAAAAGATCATCTATCATGATCAAGTAGGATTTATTCCAGGGATGCAAGGATGGTACAACATTCGAAAATCCATCAACATCATCCACCACATCAACAAATAGGAGGACCAAAGCCACATGATCATCTCCAGAGATGCTGAAAAAGCATTTGACAAAATTCAACATCCATCCATGATAAAAAAAACTCTCAACAAAATGGGTATTGAAGGCAAGTACCTCAACATAATAAAGGCCATATATGACAAACCCACAGCCAGCATTACACTTAACAGCAAGAAGCTGAAAGCCTTTCCTTTAAGATCGGGAACAAGACAAGGAGGCCCACTCTTCCCACTTTTATTCAACATGGTTATGGAGGTCGTAGCCATTGCAATCAGACAACACAAAGAAATAAAAGGCATCCAGATTGGCAAGGAAGAAGTCAAAATGTCTGTTTGCAGATGACATGATATGCCCTAAAGAATCCACTCCAAAACTACTAGATCTAATATCTGAATTCAGCAAAGTTGCAGGATACAAAATTAATACACAGAAATCTCTTGCATTCCTACACACTAAAGATAAACTAACAGAAAGAGAAATCAGGAAAACAATTCCATTCACAACTGCATCAGAAAGAATAAAATACCTAGGAATAAACCTAACCAATGAAGTGAAAGACCTATACTCTGAAAACTACAAGACATGAGAGAAATTAAAGAAGATACCAATAAATGGAAACACATTCCATGCTCATGGATAGGAAGAATTAATATTGTCAAAATGGCCATCCTGCCTAAAACAATATACAGATTCAATGCAATCCCTATCAAAATACCAACAGCATTCTTCAACGAACTAGAGCAAATAGTTCTAAAATTCATATGGAACCACAAAAGACCCCGAATAGCCAAAGCAATCCTGAAAAGGAAGAATAAAGCAGGGGGAATTATGCTCCCTGACTTCAAGCTCTACTACAAAGCCACAGGAATCAATTTGGTACTGGCACAAGAATAGATCCACAGACCAATGGAACAGACTAAAGAGCCCAGATATAAACTCAACCATATATGGTCAATTAATATACAATAAAGGAGCCATGGATATATAATGGGGGAAATGATAGCCTCTTCAACAGCTGGTGTTGGCAAAACTGGACAGCTACATATAAGAGAATGAAAATGGATTATTGTCTAACCCCAAACACAAAAGTAAACTCAAAATGGATCAAAGACCTGAATGTAAGTCATGAAACTATAAAACTCTTAGAAAAAAACATAGGCAAAAATCTCTTGGACATAAACATGAGCAACTTCTTCATGAACATATCTTCCTGGGCAAGGGAAACAAAAGCAAAAATGAACATGTGGGACTATATCAAGCTGAAAAGCTTCTGTACAGCAAACGACACCATCAGTAGAACAAAAAGACATTTTACAGTGTGGAAGAATATGTTCATAAATGACAGATCCGATAAAAAGTTGACATCCAAATTATATAAAGATCTCTGCACCTCAACAAACAAAAAGTAAATAAGCCAATTAAAAAATGGGCAGAGGAGCTGAACAGACACTTCTCCAAAGAAGAAATTCAGATGGCCAACAGGCACATGAAAAGATGCTCCACATTGGTAATCATCAGAGAAATGCAAATTAAAACCACAATGAGATATCACCTCATGTCAGTTAGGATGGCCAACATCCAAAAGACAAACAACAACAAATGTTGGTTAGGATGTTGAGAAAGGGGAACCCTCCTACACTGCTGGTGGGATGTAAACTAGTTCAACCATTGTGGAAAGAAGTATGGAGGTTCCTCAAAAAACTAAAAATAGAAATGCCATTTGACCCAGGAATTCCACTCCTAGGAATTTACCCTAAGAATGCAGAAGCCCAGTTTGAAAAAGACATATGCACCCTTATGTTTATTGCAGCACTATTTACAATAGCCAAGAAATGGAAGCAACTTAAGTGTTCATCAGATTAATGGATAAAGAAGATGTGGTACATATACACAATGGAATATTATTCAGCCATAAGAAAACAAATCCCACCATTTGCAACAACATGGATGGAGCTAGAGGGTATTATGCTCAGTGAAATAAGCCAGGCAGAGAAAGACAAGTATCAAATGATTTCACTCATCTATGGAGTATAAGAACAAAGCAAAATCTGAAGGAACAAAACAGAAGGAGACTCACAGAACCCAAAATGGACTAACAGTTACCAAAGGGAAAGATACTGGGGAGGATGGGTGGCAAGGGAGGGATAAGAAGGAAAAAGGGGCATTAATATTAGCACACATAATGTGCAGGGAGGGGACACAGGAAGGCACTATAACACAGAGAAGACAAGTAGTGATTCTATAGCATCTTACTACGCTGATAGACAGTGACTGTAATGGGGTATATGGTAGGGTCTTGATAATACGGGGAGTCTAGTAACCATAATGGTGCTCATGTTATTGTACATTAATGATACCAAAAAAAAAATATATATATATATATATATATACGCACATATTCAGGGTCTTACATACTAACAGCTTGTCTAGAAACTCATCTTACTAAGACTGCATTAAGACCCTGTAAAGGTTGCTTTATGATATCTGAAACATGTTTACAGCTGATTTAGGTCAGATAGTTGTCCTTTTCCAGGTAAGCTGTAATATACTTCTCCACTACATGCCACACTTGCCAATATGCATGCTCCATCAGTTTTGTTTGGACAGTCTTCATCTCTCTTTTTTATGTCAAGATGACCATCAACTTTGTATGGGAACCCACAGATAGCCCTATTTATTATCAGAACATTCCTTATGTCTGTGCCACTCCACGTCCAGCCGTATTAATTTTCACTGAGCTATTTTCAAATTACATTGTAAAGGAGATTATTTTTTTCTTATACAGTATGTAGATTCTTGTGAGTTTTTGCAAGAGATTAAGCCCCTTCACTCACTGCCTCCTAACACGATCCTGGACCTTTCAGCCTAGGTATTGAGGCACATATTCTTTGGGGTCTCCTCAATCCTACTCTATTTTGAATCAGGTAAGAAAAAAACAAATGGAAAGTTAAACTCTTTTAATCTTTGGTTTGAGAACTCTAATGCTCAAGTTACGAAATGGAGAATATCCTTTCTTATACTAACTCACATATTCTCAACAGGGAAAATGTACTTGTCTAAAAAGGAATAAACTAGCTCATTATTTCTGTTAACAGAAATAGTAGAACATGTCTGAGCATGTCTTTTCAAGACTGCTTTAGGAATAGAAATCTGAATTAAAGTTTAGGATCTCAAACATCTGAATTGACACTGTTTTTATAAGCAGAAAAGCAAACAATGCTGACAGAAGATATTTTACATTCTCTCCTGTGGCTTTTTTGACCTTTGAAAGGAAACTGGTGCCTACTGAAACCACTGATTTATACTAATGGAGTGTTTGTGCCTTGTGTCTTCCTCCCTGTTGAAAAAGCTCTGAGCAAATGCATCGATACCCTTATAATTTTGAATGGACTTTTTCTTGAGTGTGACTTTTCCTATGTCTGAAAAGATTTGAGTTCTGACTAAAGGCTTTCCCACATTCATGACACTTGTAGGGTTTTTCTCCAGTGTGGATTCTTTGATGCTGAATCAGGTTTGTGCTTCGGGTGAAAGACTTTGCACAGACATCACATGCATAAGGTTTCTCTCCACTATGGACTCTCTGATGTAGGATAAGGGCTGAGCTTTGACTAAAGGTTCTGCCACATTCATTACACTTGTGTTGTTTCTTTCGAGAAGGGTTTTCCTGTCTTCTTTCAAACCTACCATTTTGTCCACAGGTTCTCCTGTATGTGAATCTCTGGGAAGCATTCATATGAAGGGTGTTAGAAACATCATAATGTGGTTCTTTGCCTGGAGAAGTCTTTTGCCTTGAAGCTGATTTCACTTTTATAGTTCTGGTGTCTTTATCTGAAATAATACACAGAAAAGCATATTACCAGTTCTTTGTTCAGAAAGAAAAAAGGCAAATAGGATGATCCAAATGAAATATATGCGGACTATTTATTAGCTAGTACATCTGTAAGATTGCATCATAATGTGGAGGATGGAGATGTAAGTCAGAAAACACTGAAGTCATAAGGCCAAATAAAAAGGTTTATAACTGAAGGGGCAGTCAATAATAAAGATGAAAAGCTGTATTCAAAAAGTAGAATGGTAAATAGAGCTAAAAATATATATCAGAGACTGAGGAAAGTCTGGAAGAAAAGAAAAGGTCTAAAAGATGATAAATTATTGGAGAAGCAAAGGAGCAACTAAAGAAAAGGAATCACATGTGTTAGTGGAAAGCAAAATTTAGTACAGAGTACCAATAAACAAAACTTTAATACTGATAAATGAGTCAATAATTAAGCGAAGGAAGGAGATGAAGAAACCAATGTGTCAAAAAGGAATACAGAAATACAAGTCAGAAAAAGAAATTATGGACTAGCTTAGGATAATTGATACCTCAAAAAATCAAGGATAGTACAGAGTACCCATCTGCAAAAACCTCTACTCCTTACATTATTTTCTAGTACTAGTGAAATGGCATATTCCTGGTTACAGAGAAAACATTTTACTAATGGTAAGGTTTCAGTCCCAAATTAATTTTTCATAGCTTAAACTCGACAGTGACTTCAGTGCCTAATCACTACCATAAAAAATCCTGGCCACAGTTAGCCCTTGATAGTATAGAGACCAAAGTCTTCTGCAGAAGCTTTGATAAGACATGACCTGGTACCACAGAAATCATGTAGCAGCCTTAAGAAATGGTTCTAAGTCAGATTCTGGTTCTGTCTGCCTTGTATTGCAAGATCCTGGGTGTTCTGCTTTCAGTGTCAAATTTCAGTGCATCTTTAGAAAATTTTAGGAAAGGCCTCTGAATACATTCACAAGTAGGATGTGGTTCTTGCTAACATTGGGAGTCCAAGACATGTCTTTGAGGATGACCATTCTGTAGTCACCACCACACAAAGCCCCTGGGGCTGGGACAGTTTGTTTCTCTGTCCTGATGGAGTGTGAAAAGACTTTCAATTTTCTCCTAGTTAAACCAAGACAGTTAGTAGACTAGAGGTGTTAAGTGCCCAGCACAAGCCTCTTGGGAGCAGTAACTTGTCAACTAAGAGTAAAAAATATTTTCTAGATCTCTCTCTCTAAATTTTTGTTTTTTGCTTTTCCTGTAGTTTATCAAAATTCCCTTAGAAAAACCCTAACCCAATTTAGCTGATCAACCACCCCTGGAATATAAAAGTAGCTGGCGAAGAGGAGGAGATCCTCCCACCTGGAGTTTCCCTCAGCATCTCTGGCTCCCATTTTATCCAGCATGATAAGCTAGAAGGAGGGTCCTTGCTTAAATGTTACTTCATCAGAAAGGTCTTCTCTACCACTCTATTTAATAAGACCCTGTCCTCACCTCATCTATCCCCCTTATTCTGCTTTGCTTTTTTCCATAGTACTTATTTCTTTTGGTATCTGCAATGGAAGAACAGACTGCTATGCCAGCCATTTTAGAGCATTTATGTAAAAAGTGATACCAAAAAAAAGGCCAATTTAGGATGTGAGGGAATAGAGAAACAATTTCAAAGCACCATAAGAGAGCAAAATCATCTTAGCAGCAACATGGTGATTGAGACTAGATCCCACCAGTAACTGAGCTAGAAGTTATACAGAAATAATGATGTAACCAGTGGTCCTTAGACTGTGACCTGTGGGTCTCTCAGATGGGCCTCCCAGGCTGCCTGAAGGTAAAAGAGGTGGGAACAGGGCAAAGTTAGAGCCCTGTGGACTGACACTGTTTTCTCCTGTATCAGTTAGACTAGCTATATTTTCATCTGTTTTGTATACTGGAACTCCATATAAAATTTCATTTGAGAAAGGGTCATGCTGCTTAAAAAAAGGTTTGAAAATTCTAATGAAGGTCAAGGAAAATTCTAATGAAGGTCTAATGAAGAGTCTGTTCTGCCCCTCACCGTTCCGTTTGAAGGAGTGAAGCTCCCATGATGCCGACTGCTGCTGCTGCTTTGCAGGCTTGTGCCGACTACGTGGTATCTGATGCTGACTGATTTCACAAGGCACTAGTTTCTCAGCAAGCGAGTCCTCATTTTGTCCAAAAAAGACCTGGAAACAACTAGGCATTAACTGAGGCTGAAGAAGGCAATCAGGTTGGGGCTCTGGGATAAAATAACAGAGAAGAAAGTATGTAGAAAATATCCTGGAACATAGGAAAAGAGAGGAAAAAAGCAGAGCCACATTCTACTTTCTGGCACAGCCAGGAGCACACTCACCATACCACATATGGAGCTGTGATGAGTGGAAGTACAATTTGAGAGCTCTAACCCCCGTGATGCCCAGAGATCCTGACTCATCTCCACAGATGCCTTATTTACCTGCTCAGTTGGCTCATCAAGCTCTTTCTCCAGCTCCTCTAGCACAGACACGGCTTCCTCTCCATTCTCTGGTCGGTGATCTCGCACCCAGGCCTGCAGTTCCTCTGGTAAGATGGTCAGGAACTGCTCCAGCACCAGCAGCTCCAGAATCTTTTGCTTGGTGTGCATCTCTGGCCTCAGCCACTGATGGCAAAGCTCCCGGAGCCGGGTCAGAGCCTCTCGGGGCCCAGAGGACTCCTGGTAGCCAAACTGCCTGAACCGCTGACGGAAGGTCTCTGGGCTATAGTCTAGATCACAGGCCTGCTCATCATCACCGTCCACCTTCACTACCAGGAAGCTATCAGGCTCCTTAGAATTTTGTGGAAGGAGTGTTGATGCTCTCAGTTTTGCAGACATTTGGACCGAGAATAGCTCAGAACCACTACACTTTAATCTTCAAGGTGGTAAAGTTCTCCTTATGGCCACTCCTTACAGATGATTAAAGAAACAAGTGTAAATAAGATAAAGACAAATGTTTCTTGAACAATACAGCTAAGATACTTAAGACTGCACAGAAAGTACTGCTCTCAATCTTAAACCATGTTTTCAAATACTTCCTTCTTTAAAAGAATCAGCTAAGACCCAGTAATTCATATGCTTGAGTAATACCCAATTTATTCTGAAAATCATTCCCATGAAGCTGACTAAATATCACAATAAGAGATCATCTAGGATTGCATAGGAGAATAGAAACAGGGAAGCCTGAGAAAAGTTATCACTCTGCGACAGGCTCAAAAAGCTGGTAATTTTTTTCTAGCCTACTGCAAAGAGTGCTGAAAAATAGTCTTATGAGAGAGTACTTTTGTGTCAATTTCCTCCAACATTTACTGTTTTTTAAAACAATATTGTTTGGACATTAAAGGAACCATTCAAAGGAGAAAGTAATCACATATCCATCTTAGATTATCCCATTTTTTTCATATGCACTTCTACTTCGCATCCATAACATCTATATATACTATTTATCTATTATAAAATATTTCAGTTGTTTCTAATTTTACTTTTATAAATAATGCTGGGAAGCACATTTTCAGGAATGTACTATTTTTATCCTTTAAAATTATCTTTTTCAAGGGTGTCTGGAGTATTTGGCTTATTAGGGTCAAAGAAGAGTGACAAATGTCTTGCTAAGTGTTACCAAATAAATTTCAGAAAAGACTATTAATTCATAATGCCACCAGCAATTATCATAATTAATGAGGGCTTGTTAGCAGGAAGAAGGTGGGAGACACTTTTCTAGGTACCATTTTATTATATGTACTACTAGTAACTGGTGACTAATTAAAAAATCTTACATGTGCCCTTATACGGCCTCTTTATGCAGCCTACCTTTTAATTCCCCACTTAAGAACCAAGCGCTAGTCTAGACAATGAAGACGCAGAGGTGACCTGAACAAAGTCTGTGGCTTCATAAAACTTATTAGCAGAGAAAAGGCAACAATGTTACCAAATTAATTATACAGCTTTATACAGCGATGTGTTACACTGCAAATAACAGGAAATTTAATAAATATAAATTATCACAAAAGCCCTGTACAAATAGGTTATTTTCATCCCTGTGTTGCAGATGAGAAACCTGCCAAATCAACCTCAGGCATCATGACCTTGGGCAAAGCGTCAGGGCTGGGGTCTGAATCTAGGTCGTCCACCCTTATCCACGCGGTGCTGCCTGGTCAAGGGGTAGGGCTCCCAAAAGCATAAAGAGAGCAGCAGACGCCGGTGATCACGGGCCAGAACAGAGTCTGGGGGCGAGACTTGAACGCGGGAAGGGTGTCGGGTATGACCTCAAGGGAAACTAAGCTAAAGCTGCCTCTGGACTTTGCAGGAGAGTGCCGCGGGAACGCACGTTGCAGCAGGAGCCGAATCCATGCCGTCTCTAGCAATGGCTCTCAGACCAGCACAAGAAACAGGGTCACCAAAACCCCCAACGCCACAAGAGGGCCTGTAATAAACCGGGTCCCTGCAGGGGAGGCTTCGCTCAGAGTCCCGAATCCTGAGTCTTTCCAGAGAGGTCTGGCGCCCCGTTCAAAATCCCTCTTTTAGCGGGCCGGCTCGGGGAAGGTCGGCGTGCGACGCCCCCAGCCACCTCTCTCACCTGGCCCCCGCCACCCCACCCCACGCAGCGCCACTCTCCCGAGGGGACCAAACTCTGTGAGACTGCAAGACGCACGTGGCGATGAGGAAGGTGAGCGGCAAGGGCAGAGAGCGCGCGCCGGGCCAGGGGACCGGAGTGGGGTCACCTGAGGGGGCAGGCCCCACGCGGGTGCGCGGGGTCGGGGGTGTGCGGACGCGCGCTGAGGGGCTAGGGAGTGAGCCGCCTAAGTGGGGCCCGCGGGGAAGCCCTGGGCAGCGGGTGTAGGGGACGGTCTGAAGAGGGGGTGCTCGCAGGCGCAGAGGCAAAGGAGTGGGGTAGCTACTGCAAGGCCTACCTGCTGTCCGCGGCCACCCACTTCCACCCGCCACAGGACGGACGCTTCTTTCCGCGGCCTAGTGGCGCAAGAGGCTTGGGCTCGCACCTCCGTGCCAGGACCGACGACTTGCGTTACCCGGAAAAAGCCTGGGAAGCGACCAGCTGGAAGCTGCTTCCGGTCCTAGCGGCCAGGGTTGGGGGTGGGGCGGGGTTGGGGGAGAGGTGGGGGTGGGGCGGGACGCGGTGTGAGAGAGCAGTTGCCACGGAGACCAGCTGCCTCGCCTTAGGTTTTCTGGGTGGCCGCTCCCCAGCGACAGGAAGGGGGTACCCGACGGGTGGGAACCCCGCTGCTTAGCATCCGCAGCATTATTTCTCTAAGCACTGCTGCTCAGATCTTTCACGTATCTTTCAATAACTTAGTAAGGTTGTTTCCATTTTATAGGAGATAAAACCAAAAGGTTCCATGACTTGCCCAAGGCCACAGAGAGGAGAGAATCCTGTGCTTGTTACCCAGTACAGCTTTCCTCTAAAGCCATCTGAGCTACTGAGGGTTATGCTTCAAGGAACCTTTTTGGACAGGCTTACCTCTTCCACCCCATGCTTTCACAAGAGAACCCAATGGCCCTTACAAAGGGGAGAACCCGCCCACACACATATTTTGGCACCAATGCATATGTACATGTTTCCTCACATCCTCTGAAGTAAATGAAAAATAAATTGCGCCAAATGAACTACAAGACCACAGCTCCACATACTGGCTTCCTCCTCCACCCAGTTTTCCTAGGGTGGTTGGAAAATAGTGGGGAGTGGGAAATTAGGGGGAGGACAGAGATGCTTATTTACCACTTGCTAGTTAATAAGAAAAAAACCCTTTTGGTATGACCAAAAAAAACAAAATAAAACAAAAGTGTGTTAATGCTGGAGTCTGAAGTGATGAGAGAAAAGGCTGGTTCACACAGTCTACACCAGACCTGGGTTTAGGGGAAAAACTTGCTTCTTAATTAACCTGCAATGACAATAAATTTGAAATTCTTGCTTCAACAAGAGGCTTTCACAGATAAGATTTTTGATGAGGTACCTGCTGACACAAATAGCAAGACATCCCAGAAGTGCAGAAGGGGATGTGTTTAAGGTGATGGTGGGTAGGTTAAATGACTCAAGCCAAATTCAGATGGCCAACAGACACATGAGAGGATGCTCCACATCACTAATCATCGGGGAAATGCAATTAAAACCACAATGAGATATCACTTCACACCAGTGGCCAGCATCGTAAAGATTGAGAACAACAAATGCTGGCAAGAATGCAGAGAAAGGGAAACTCCTGTACTTCTGATGGCAATGTAAGCTAGTTCAACCATTGTGGAAAACAATATGGAATTTCCACAAAAACTAAAAATAGAAATACCATTTGACCTGGGAATCCCACTCCTTGGAATATACAAGTTCTCAGATTCAAAAAGACATATGCAGCCCTATGTTTATCACAGCACTTTTTACAATAGCCAAGATATGGAAGCAACCTAAGTGTCCATCAGTAGATGAATGAATAAAGAAGAGTTGGTACATATATACAATGGAATACTATTCAGCCATAAGAAAGAAACAAATCCTATTATTTGCAACAACATGGATGGAGCTAGAGGATATTATGCTCAGTGAAATAAGCCAGGTGGAGAAAGACAAGTGTCAAATGATTTCCCTCATTTGTGGAGTATAACAATGCAGCAAAACTGAAGGAACAAAACAGCAGCAGACCCACACTCCAAGAAGGGACTAGTGGTTACTAAAGGAGAGAGGTGAGGGAGGGCGTGTCGGGAGGGAGGGAGATGGTGATTGAGGGGTATTATGTTTAATACACATGGTGTGAGGGGTCACAGAGAAAACAGTGTAGCTAGCGCAGAGAAGGCAAATAGTGACTCTGTGGCATCTTACTACACTGATGGACAGTGAGTAACTGCAATGGGGTATAGGTAGGGACTTGATAATATGGGTTAATGTAGTAACCACATTGTTTTTTCATGTGAAACCTTCATAAGAGTGTATATCAATACCTTAATAAAAAATTTTTTTAATATAACTATATTTACAGGAGGAAGAGGTGATAGGAAAAAAAATTCCTTTCTTTCAAGGTAGTAATATATAATGTTTTTTGCCTTTCATTCCACAAGAGGGCGGAAGGTGAATACAATTTTCAACTCCACTGGGTTCAGGCCTTTGGCTATTACCAGCTAACTACCACCTGCTTATGTTTTGGTAGAGATGACAAACTGCTGTTGCTAACATCTGAACAACTGTCTTTGAGTTCAGGGCACTACTTAATCAATACCCAGACAAATAAGGCATGATTCAGAGCATTCACAGCCTAGTGGGTTCACAGAGGGAAGAGCAATACGTTTGGAGAGTTTGCTAAGGGCTCAGGGAGTTCTACATGTAGCTGGGGGTGTTCTCTGGAAAGATTGGAATGGTAGGGGGTGGCACATCGGGTAGCAATGCCAGTGATGCGTTTGGATGAGGCAGTGGGGGTGGGATGGATGGCACAACTGTGGGAGTACTGAGGGCCCAGGGTGGGAATGTTGATGAACTGGGCAGATTCTGAGGTCTGTTCTCCCTTCAGCCCCTCTTGCAGCCTGCTCTGTTCCTCAGACCTTCACACACACACACACACACACACACACACACACACACACACACACACACTCTCTCTCTCTCTCTCTCTCTCTCTCTCTCTCTCTCTCTCTCTCTCTCTCTCTCTCTCTCTCTCTCTCCGCCCTCTCCTCACAGAGGTTTTCTCCTTGTCCAGGGCTCTTTTCTCTTAAAGACAGGTTTTTCTTAGGCATTTTCACCCCCCTTATCTGAGGGTTTGCTCTTATCTATCAAGCCCAGGCTGCCTTTTTACTCAGAACTTCTAAGCTCCTCTGGCCAACTACCCTCCCTGGTCTTAGCCTATTTACTCTTTTGAGCCTCCCTGGTCCCTAGGCCTCTTCTCTCCTGGGCCCATTCTTCTCCTAACATTGGGACTGTGGCCTTCCTTCATGGACTCACATCAGTTACCCGGTCAGCTTGCTTCTTTCAGGGCCTGGAAATGGACTGACTCTGAGGACTCCTGGGACTCTCATGGGTGTGGCTGGCACTGCTTTGATGCCTCCTTTTTTCTTTTTGTGGCCTGTTCTTCATGCTCTATCCTTAGCATTTTAATCTATAACCATAGGTATTTTCAAAGTAATGGCTCTGCTCATAGCCTCTGAACTTGAAAAGTGGAGGAGTATATACCACTCTTTCAGATCTTAAATGTGGTTCTCAGAGAGCATTTCCAATTGAGCTTATCTGCTGTGTGGTGTAATGATGTAATGGAAATCACACCAGACCAGTGGTCATGCACAGGCCCTCTTAGTGTTGCTTCCCTTCCTGGCCAGGACACCTGAGGCAAGTGAATTTACTTCTTGGAGTCTCAGTTTCCTCATGAAGGAAATGTTAGTGATAAGTTTACAGGATTGTCCTGAGAAATAAGTGAAGTAATAAATAACTGAGGTAGAGTTTTCTAAGTATCTAGGAAATCTTTTACACTAAAAGAAAATGTTTTAAAATGTAGCTATTATTATTATTGCTAACATTTCTTCATCTGTGAAACTCAATAAAGGGATTCCCAACAGAAGACAGAATGATCTCCAAGAGGCTCCTTCAAGTTCTTTCCTCTGAGTTTGTCAAATATGACTTGCCATATATGCTGGTTGTATTTATAATTCAATCCTTACAGTTTTCCTCATCTGTTTTTCTCCTCTGGCAACGCCCATCATACCCAGCCCTCGCAATATCTTGCAATAGCTCTTCACACTAAATTCCTCTCTGCTTAAGGAGTGAGTGGTTTCAGTTCTTCAATGGTTATAGAAGCTTCAGCATCTGGGGAGTCAACCTCAGACAAATTGGTCACACAGGCCAAACCAGAGGAATCATCTCTTCTCACATTCTGCTTTCTAGATATGAATAGGGGCCAAAGGACACCATACTGGCTGCTGTGACAAACCACCTGGCATACACAAATGTTTTCATTTCTATTCTAGAGCAAAATTTCACACAACCTGCAATGGGACAGGTTTTCTGGGCCTGAGGGAGGGCCAAACCTTTGCTGATGTGTTAAACTGATCAGGTTGCCCATTCCCCTTTACAACATTTTTGCTTCCTGGGTTTTCGCTGCCTTCCTGGTTTAGAACACAGCAGCCATGAGGAAACTCTTCACTCCAAGTACAATTAAGCATGGCAGGATTTGAAAATGGAGCCCAAATCAGCCCATTTCAAGCTGAATGATAGGTACTGCATTCTCAGGAGACTTTCCTAAGTGAGTAAGGACAACCTTACAAAAGATTTCCAAAAAATTCTGTGACACTTCAGTTCACCTTCTACCTCTGGACTAGAAAAGAGGTTTAAAAGGCTAAAAAATGACTGGAGAAGAGAAGGGAATTTGGAGAGATGCTGGTGTGCTGGTCCTAGCCTGTGCTGTGGAGGGAGAAAGCCAGGGTCCCTGTGCTCCTGTAGTTTATAGGAGCAGAGGGAATGCGTAAGTATTTCCCAAGAACCAGACATTGGTCACTCAAGAAAGCTTGTGTGGGGTCGTTTATATCCCAATCAAGAAGGCTGCCTGATGAGCAGAACCCCACAGAAGAGTAAGTTCTCAGGCTCCATCAGACACATAAAGGCTGAGAAAGGGGGGGGATTCAAGATGGCAGCATGAGAGATGAGACAGAGAACTCCTCCCAAAATCACAAATAGTACAAAAATATAGTTAATTAATACAACTAATCCTAAAACAGCAAAAAGAAAGAAGGTTGAAACAGACTGCATACAGACCTCACGAACAGAGCAGACTTCACTAAACAGGGTAATGTACAAAAGCCTTAATCCGCGGGACCCAAGCCCCTCCCCCACCCCAGCTCACCCGTGGGAGGAAGAGAAACAGAGCAGGGATGGGGTGGAAGCCTGGGACTGCTGAAGACCTAGCCCTGGAGATCTGCTTTGTGAACAGAAACTTACATTTCCAAAGAAGAATTCAGATGGCCAAGAGGCACATGAAAAGATGCTCCACATTGCTATTCATCAGAGAAATGCAAATTAAAACCCAATGAGATATCATCTCATACCAGTTGGATAGCCAGAATTCAAACGACAAGGAACAAC